AAAATTTTGAAAAGGACAAGTGGTTCGATCCCTACCCCCGCCAAGGTAAAAAATTGTTCATTTTTAACTTACGAAGTGGACGGGCGGAGTTCATCAACAGATTCAAGTCACGCTCACTCACCTTATCCAAGGTAGAGTTGATGATGAACAAAGGGAAGCTCAATGTTGCATCGTTCAGTTACCTTCTCTTTGTTGTGCTTCCATTTCTCGATGTAATATACCTTGACACAACAACGAAGACGATGAGATCGTTTAGAAAGAAAGGATCAACAACTTTCAAGGAATTGATGGAGCTGCGATCAGAGTACATAAGTAACCTACAACAGAATACCGAGGCCCTGCAAGGTCAGCCAATGAAGTATTCGCCTTCCATTTCTCCCACGAATAAGGGTAGTGAAGTTAGTCAGGTGACGGTTTCATGTGGGGAGGTCCCGAAAGGTCAACCAAAGAACCACACAACCTCAGAAACCAGAAATAATGGCGTTGATAACCGGAAACTAAAAGGTACAAATTAAAGCAAAGTCAATTGTCTCAAAAAGCCAGTAAAGCCAGGAATGAAAATTTGAGAGAAAAGAGCAAAAAGCCACAAAACAAATGAAATTGCTCCTAAGAAGTCGACTGATGAAAAGGAAATCATCATAATACCACACGATGATAATCCCAAACAATTTGATCAATACGAGAAATGTATCAACGACTTGAAAAAGATGCTAACTGACAGGTTAAATGACTTTAACAAGACACTCAAGGAAATCCAACAAACACAAACAACAATGGAACAAATGATTGTTAACCTCGAGAAAACAATGAAGAGCAAGCCCCACCAGAAAGTAGATGATATAGTCACACAAGTCCTCAACTCGCCCAATCTTACAAATCATATCAAGGGTGTAGTAACAACACAAAACCACGACTTAAGAACCAGATTTGAAAAACATGAGTGTGGTATGGACAAAAGACTAGATCGAATAGAAGACGATTTTTCTACAACAAAACTTGGTTTCAAATAAAAGATAAACCAAATAAGCAACGAATTGAAAAATGTAGAAAATGTTGCCAATAAAACAGTGGATGCCATTAGAAAGGGCATGGACAAAAGTAGAGCAATTGTCGAGCAGCAACTCATTGTCTAAAGAAACATCACTGAACAAGAAAGAAACGTTGACAAACAACTAATTACAAGCTATGTTGAAGGAAATGTTACACAATTTAAACAAACAACTGTTAGTAACCAATTACTGATCAACCAAAAAATACAAAGTGTAGAGAGTGTGCAACATAACATGGGAAATGGTCTCATGGCACTCAACAACAATATGGGAGCAGCCTTGACACAACAAAGTCAAGTGATCAACAACATTGGTGCAGTCGTCCAAAAAATGTGATTGCGACCGGTCAGTTGGAGACCAGAATGAATGTCGTGGCGGGTGCAGTCAAACAAGTGATCAATATAGTACAGACGGACACAACCCGAACCGGAGTACGACATCACCATTACAGTTGCAACACAATCTGACAATACAACATCAACAGAACCCACAAATCACGTTTTGAGTCAGAGACTGAAAGAAAGAATGATTGTATATGCGCTAAAAATAATTTGATAGTAAATTATTGGAAAAAACTCTCCCAAGATGAAAGTATAGAAATACTCAAAAATCTCAATGTCGAAGTTCACAATCCCAACATGCTCAAGAATCTTATCAAGATGAGCAACTATCTCACAAACAAACATAAACATGATGCTACTGAATACCTCAAAAGTGTGCTGAATGACAAGGAACTACTTAAAAAATACAAGTTAGAAAAGTCATCAAAATACATAACAACAAAGAAATTGACTTTGCCAAGTTCCGCGAGATATTGGACGACGAAATGGCTAAAAACTATTCCGAGACTGCATATGTGAACTATTACAACAATACAAAGGTGATATCAAAACTGATGCAATATATTAACAATGGGATTCACCCAGTAATAGACACAATATCAAAAAATCAAAGACAGTAACAAAATTCGATTGGTGCAGTATCACATGCATTGAGTAAATATCTGCAAACGAAAACAAGTGTTCTCAACACTGTAAGCAGAGATGCGAAATTCCTGGCTGTCATCAACAAATACACAGACCTCCTCAAGACCAAAAACTACACAAAACTTCGTCAATTGCTTTACAAGCATAAGTGTAATGATGAAATGGTGATTCAATTAACAAAAGACAAAATCACACATTTCAAATATCTTCTTAACTGCCACTTGTATGAAATGGAGTTTCAAAAAACTGAAACAAGAAGAATAAAATAAAACTCAAAGTGGTTTCAGTTCAACAAAAGAAATGCAGAAAGAGGTGAGAGAAACTGTGAACTCCCAACAACTGCACAAACAATGGAACTATGGTCAGACTTGTTTGAAAAAGTTATGGATGTAAACAAGCAATGTCAATATACCAAACAAGTATGGGAGTATGATGGCAAAAATTGTCAGCTACAAAACATCACAAGGGAAGAACTGACACTGGCAACGAAATGCATAGCCAACTGGAAAGCACCCGGAATTGACAAAATCAGTGGTTATTACATTACTATTGTACCTGCATGCATGATGCATTGCTAAAACTATTCAAAAAGTGGTACAAATACCCTGATGAGATTCCAACCGAAATGCTGGTGGGTAGGACGGTACTAATACCGAAAAGTGACGATCCAAAAAATCCTGCCAATTATCGCCCAATCACGTGTCTCAATGTCATTATGAAAGTGTTCACTTCAATATTGAAGATGAAAATAGAAAAACAATTGAATGTCAATCTAATTGAAAAGAAACTTGAGAATAACCAGCTGGGGTGCAAGAAGTACACATATGCTTCAAAAGAAGGACTATTACAGAACATACTATTCCAAGTTGCACTCAAAAAGAGCAACAAAAAATACCTTGAAGCATATTACGACATCCGAAAAGCCTATGACAGTGTAAACCACGAATGGTTAATCAATTGTCTTCAATACTACAACATACCAGAAGAAATCATACTGACACTGGAAAAAATGATGGCAAAATGGGCTATTTCACTGACTTATAATGGCGATGTAGTTGGAGATGTAAAAGTGAAAAATGGTGTTTTACAAGGTGACTCACTCTTGCCACTCCTGTTTGTAATTTCGATAGACTGTATATCAAAGAGTCTTAACAGGATCATCGAGCCAGTCAAAATCAAGTCGAAACTTGCTGACACGACGATTGAGCTTGGACACACATTTTACATGGATGACTTGAGAGTGCTTGCATCATCAGAATCACAAATGGAGAAAGTACACACAAATGTATGTGAGTCGTTCAGTGCAATGGCGATGGAAATTAATGCTGCAAAGTGTGGTGTTGATGCTCTTGGCAATATTAGAATCCCAACAAATATGCAAGATATTCCCATTGTAAATGTGAACAATCCTTACAAATATCTGGGTGTTGAAATCGACCAAAAGGTCGACACAAACACATATTGTACCAGAATTATCAAGGGAATTGAAGAGTGCATGGACAAGATAGTGCAAAGGAATTTAAGTGCTGTGAACTTCATCCGTACCATAAATGCCGACATTATTGCGAAGCTTAGGTATGGCTACAGCGTTGTGTTGTGGAAATTAGGTCAGTTGGATATGTTAGACCTCAAAATCCGAAAGTTCCTTCCAAAGCACAAATTGAATGATAGAGACTTGACAAAATACCGATTGTATTTCAACCAAGTTGACATGGGGTATGGTCTCAGAAGTTGCAGAGATGAATGTGGCAAAGAACTAATCCGCGTGTTTCTGAAATACGTTTGGCACAGTGATTCCAACATTGCTGGTTTGCTCAAACACACGCGTGATGCACCAGACAATTTGATGAAAAGAGCGGTCAATTGTCTCAAAAAGAAAATCACACAAACAGAGCTTGAAGAGTACATTGAAAACGAAGCCACAAAAGATAAGTCAATTATCACAGTTCTCGAGCATGTGAGTCAAAAAATCAATGACTACTACATGAAACAGTGGATGGCAAAAAAGTCTGCTAGCATACTCCCAAAGATGCTCAACCACCAAATGTGCTATCGAGAGATCTCTGGTAGTGCATGGAAGAACTGCAACATCAAAAGGAATGCATTCATTCAAGTCGTCAGAACGCAAGAATATGCAACTATTGTTGGTCACAGAAAATTGGCAATCACAAAAAATAAGGGTGATGAAAAGTGCTATTGTTGTAAAAACATGGTGGCAAATATATTTCACATATTACTGAGCTGCCCAATGACCAAGAAATCCCAGATTTACAGGCACAACTATGTCTGCAAAACGATCCACGTGGCTTTGATCAAAAAGCTGAAGCTTTCCACAAATGAGATGGATCTGGGTACGCCGCCTAAAACCCTCACAGATGATGGTGAAGTAAATATCCTAATTGCCGAAATGAATATATTGTGTGATGACAGAGCAAGCTTTGCCCGAAGGCCTGACATTTACTGGCAGAACAATGAGAACAGGAAGGGGTATGTTATTGATGTAACGATTGTAAAAGATGAAAACCTATCCACTGCCTATTTAGAAAAATATCAAAATACTCAATATTAGCCGAAAAACTGAGAATAACCAGAAACTTGCAAACAGTAACGATCATACTTGTTGTGCTAACCATCAGTGGGCTAATCAACAAGTTGTCAGTCGAAAGGCTCGAAAAAGTCCTCAAGATTAAAGCATACTACAACAAGATGCTGAAGCGTGTTGTCATAACATGCATGAAAGACCTTATGAGTTACATGAGTCATGGAAAAGCCTCTTTTGAAATAGAAAACTCAATCGAGAGCGAAAACGAAAACGAAAACCCAGAGGATGAAACCAATGGGGGCGAAGAGATGGTTATGGCAAATGACTACTCCTAGCTATGAAAACCGAATCGAATTGTCGAGAAGGTAAATCATAATTGAAACTCTTTAGATTAATTTTAACAATTTTTACAAAATAATTTTGTTAAATTTCATTTATAACTTGTTTTCTGACCAAGTTGTAATATACTCCCTTCAGCGTCATCAATTCGTCGTGTTTACCGCATTCGACAATTTGTCCATCTTGTAACACGCAGATTTTGTCTGCGTTTTTGATAGTTGACAGTTTGTGAGCAACAACAATTGTTGTTCTTCCTTTTGCTGCATTTTCAAGTGCATTTTGCACGACACTTTCGCTCTCGGCGTCAAGTGCACTTGTCGCCTCGTCGAGTAGAAGTACTTTTGGGTTTCTAATAAGTGCTCGTGCAATTGCAATTCGCTGCTTTTGTCCACCAGACAACTGACTTCCTCTTTCCCCAACAAGTGTGTCATACCCATCTGGCATCCCACTGATAAAGTCGTGGCAATTAGCCCTCTTACATACTTCCACTATTTCTTCCTCATTAATTTCATCGCCCTCTTTTGCACCCAAAATGATGTTTTCTTTAATAGAAAGTTCAAACAAAATTGGCTCTTGTTTAACAATCCCAATTTGTTCTCTGAGCCATTTCAAATTGAGTTCTCTCACGTCTTGTCCATCGACTTTAATTGACCCTTTCGTGACATCATAATTGCGTTGGATCAACTGAATTAAAGTGCTTTTCCCACACCCAGACGCTCCCACAATCGCCACTATTTCTCCCTTGTTAATTTCGAGTTCAAATCCTTTCAGCACGTCCACTTCTTTTCGACTGGGATATGAAAATTTGACGTCTTCAAATTTAATCGTCCCGTCACATTGTGTCGGGGTAAATCCATTTACGTTGTTTGCGTCTATATCCGGCTTCCTATCAATCATTTTGAATATCTTAAAAGCCGAAACCCTTGCAATAGAAATTGCTGAAATTGGTGTTGAAATTGATGAGAGTGACATCGTTGCCTTGATGACCACAGTAAACACAGTAAAGATCTGCCCAGTCGTTACATTATGGGAACCACCTCTTCCACTGATCACAAGTGTCCCATAGAAGAGGCCGAGTGCAAAAGTACACAAATTAACAAACATAAAAAAGCCCATCCCAAGCCCTATACAATTTCCTCGTAAAATACACCAATTGAGTCCTTTGAATATGTTTTCTTTGTAATTCTCACAGAAATTGTGATATTGTCCAAAGGCTTGAACTGTTCGAATATTGCCAAGCGTCGACTCGGCTATGGAACTTGCTTTGGTGTCATACACTTGACTCTTTTCCGTCGTCTTTTTAGCAGAAAACCCAATGAATGAGGTACTTAACACCACAAAAGGAAGGGATGAGAGAATCACTAAAGTCAAGTCCCAACACTCTATAAATCCAATGACAAAACCAGTTATTGGAATCGCAAAGGCTTCTATTAAAAGACCAAGTTTGTATGAGAAACCTTCCTGAATAAGTTGGACGTCTGTCGCAATAGATGATGTGAGACTCCCAAAGTCGTGAAAGTCATAGAAAGCAGCATCTTGATGTATCAAAGACGACATATACAGCTTACGAAGTTTAATGCCTTGTCGCTCAGAAACAGTGAACAGACAAAATCGACTTATTAATCGACCAACAGCACATCCTAGTGAAATAAATAACAAACGAAGTACCAAAGTATTGACAGAAGATGAAACTGAATCAAACTGTTTGTTAAAACTTGTTGTCTTATTAAAATAGTATACTAATCTATACTAAACTATAATATAATTTATTTATTATTTATTATATACTTTTATTATTAATTATTTGATTTGATTTAAACTTAACTAGATTTAAATTTTATTATATTATATATATAATATATAATTTATTAGAGTAATTTAATTAAACTAAATTTAAATAATAATAAAAACTATATATACCAACAAAAAATATAGTTTAATTTATAATAAATTAATATAATTATAGTATAATTATATAAAGGATTAAATACAAACGATACGTCTATTCATAGCATATTGCTCGGTAAGTGGAAGGGTATTTACATCTACCCCACCACTCCCAGTCACATTGAAAGCATCAAAAACGTTTCCTAGAATTAGTACTACGAGTGGGTCTAATATCCCAACAAGAAGTGACCCCACTAATCCCCAAAACAATAAAATTTGGTCTATTGTTTCAAAAAAACGAAACATTTTGAAGAAGTTTTCAGACCCACTTTCAATTTTAATATCGGGCGTTTTTACAGTGTCAAAATTGATGTCATCTTTCTCACCATCTTGTAAAGCAGAAAAATGTTTCTTTGTGTTTAAAATACCAATGTCTTCAGAATCGTCTTTATGAATGTCAAGTTCTATGTTATCCATTTTAAATTACTTTTGTATTATAAAGATCTCAATTTACTTTCTATTCATAAATTTAAATTTGTGTTTTTTGAGTTTTAACACAATTGATTTGTTTGCATATACGAATTTGGAATTTGTTGCAAGATTTGTTTCTCATTAAACTTTAATCTTTTTCATATTAAAAGGTGTATTTAATTGTTAAAACAATTAAGTATTCAAAATAATTTTGATTTGACTATAAGGTAGAACAAAAACTAGAGTATAAAAACTCTTGTTTTTTATAGTAAACATTTGATAGTTTTTTATTGTATGATTTTTATTCCTTTTATTGTTTTAAGTCCATTCTTAAGAATATCAAATAATAACAACACTTGTTGTATTATAATAATTAAAGTGATAATTCAAGCACATCAACAATCTTTTCATTGTCATACAATCACAAAATTTATTGCAATTATAAATTATTAATACAGTTGGGTGATCAACCTTTGCCAAGCAAATGAACCTTAGCCCAAAGAAAATTAATTATTTTCTATTGTTAATTAAACTGATAAACTATATAAAGTCAATTTTAAAACCGTGCAATTTTGACGTGTCAGTGCAACTTTGTTTATAGTATAATTATAGTAAAAAAATTATATGTTTTAATTAAACAAAACAAGAAAACACAAACAAAATTCTTTAAAACTATTACTCTAATTAATATACTATAACTAAACTATAACTAAAGTTGCACAATTTTTCTCAATTGAATTTTTGGGTTGCACCATTCAACTTTCTCCTGTTTACCAAAATTTTGCAGCGAGAAAATCTTTGAATCACACAAATTGGCTTTTCTTATTTTTTTTATAAAGAGATGTTTAACATCTGTTTTATCCACAATCGATATACAACGCCTTTTTATTCGTTTTGTATGACAATTGGAATTTTGGAATTTTTATGCTTTTTAATTTAACAAGCAGTTGAACTTATCATTTAAATATCGAGTTATATTTTATGTTGATTGATAACATAATTCCACTTTTTGTTATTGTTATTGTTATTGTTGAAAAATAGAGTTTCGCCTTTGTTGTGAGTAAAAAACAAAGAAAAAATAAAGTTGCACACTTATTCTGAATGACTTTATATATATATAAAAATCATTTTTCTAAAATATTTGTTTTTTAATTAAAATCCCGTGTTTTTAAAGAAAATAACAAGTACTTTTATTGGGTAAAGTACATTTTCTAAGCTAAGGTTCTTTTTCTTTTACTTTACAAATAATTAAAACCATTTCAAGTTGGATTTATCGAGTTTAACGATTTTTTATAATATATATTTTTATTTCAAAATTGGCATTGTAATTAATATTTAATTCGCTTCATTGATATTTACAGAGAACAAAATAATATATCAAAATTTAAGAATCATACAGAGATAAATAAGATGAATATTAAAAAACATCCAATTGATTATTAACATAAGTCATTTAATAAATAATTAAAAAAAAATTCGAAAACGAACTTTAAATCGATACCAAAGAAATACAAAAAATGACGAAACTTGAACCTTCACACCTAACTCTTGTTTTAAAGTACCTCAAAACTCCAGACGACTATGTTAAAATTTCTCAGGTGTCTAAAAAGGTTGTTCAGTCTATTTCTTTTCTCACATCAAATCCAGTGCCAATACCCCCACAATATCTTTCAAAGTTCTTTCCCAAAGCCACAGAGATCAACGTGTGGGATAACGAACAGCTGACCGACTATTTGACATTCGCCGACTTCGACATATTATCAAAGAGATATCTCAACATCCTTTTTGAAGTTGATTACACAACAGCAAAAAGTCTTCAAAGTGACAGTGTAGTGTTAAAGAAGGTCACTTTCAATGCCACAGACCGCAAGACATATGGTTCAAATTTTAAAGAGTTTTCCGAACTTCCACACATTAGTGCACTCGACGACTGCTGTTTTGAAAACGAAAACAATATCAAAAGTGTTGATGTCCCACAAACAGTCACACGTCTTGGTAATAAGTGCTTTTCCTCGTGTTCGTCACTTGACTCAGTTGTCTTCTCAAAACATCTCCTTGAAATCGGAGACGAGTGTTTCGCTAAATGCAACAATCTCATCAGCATTGAAATACCATCAACAGTGACTTTACTTGGAGACTCATCGTTTCAGGATTGTGGTGCTTTAGATTTGGTAAACTTTTCCAACTGTTTGCTATTTTTTTATTTTATATTTTATGTACTAGATTATCTACTTTATTATTCTTTTTTAATACATTTGTGTAACTTATTAGCAAATAATAAACTATAATTTTAATTATAATATATATTATTATTATATTAATAATATACTATTAAAATTATTTATTATATTATTAATATACTATAAATAAACTACAAATATATTATAATTATACTATAAATTAACTATAAATTAACTATAAATTAACTATAAATTAACTATTAATAAACTATAAATATATGCTATTAATATATACTACTAATATACAATTATTTCAATTGACCGAAAGATGACCAAATGCCAATGTATAATAAGGAATTTTCAGAATTGGGATGTCTTACAGAGATCAAAACAAACACTTTTAATGGATGTACCAGACTTCAAGTAGTTGAAATACCAAAATGTGTTGCTTCATTGGGGGATAAATGCTTTAGTGGGTGTAGTGATTTGGGAGGCATTACGATACCAAAGGGTCTTACATTCATTGGTCCGTATTGTTTTGAAGACAACTCGACACTCACAGAATTGACAATACCAACGAAAGTAGATACGATTGGTGAGGGCGCGTTTAAGGGATGCGGTTCATTAAAGGAACTTACAATTTCGGGCAACGGGATAGCAAATGTGGGAGACAGCTTGTTTGAAGGGTGTTCTTCGCTTAAACAGTTCAATGTGAGTCAATACGTCAAATCGATTGGCATCGAAACATTCAAAGGATGTGAAAATCTTCGTGAAATTGTTATACCAAGTAATGTCTCTTCAATTGGAGACAACTGTTTCGAAAATTGTAAAACACTGAAAGAAATTACATTGAACGAAGGTCTTCTCTCGATTGGAAATTATTGCTTCAAAAATTGCACAAGTCTGACAGAGGTCGAATTACCAAAATCAATTAGAAAAAGAGGAAGAGAGTGCTTCCCGTCGGGAATTACAGTGAGAAACAAATAACGTGAAAATAACAGATTTTTTATTGAATTTAATGTGTTTTATTATTTAAGTCAAATTTTTTTAAAAGTGGGAAAGAAGAGTAATCATTGTTTTCCCAAAAGTGTGTATTTTTGATTAAAACCTAAAAATAGTTTTCCAAGTGTGGTTTTTGAGGTTAGCTTGATTACAACTGTTCTATCTTGATAAAAAGCTACAGAATTGTTTTGTTGGATGAATGTATTTTTATTCTATATTAATTATTACAACTGGAAAGTGAATTTCCTTTAATAAATAAAAAAAATTGGCATTTTTAAAATGGGCAAACAATCATTATTATGAATAACAACCAACTTTTAAAGTATAGGTCTAATACTTCAGAATCATATAACCTATTACTACTTCTATGTTATGAAACTTTTCAATAATTTTAAATGATCATTATTATATTAATGTAACAAGTTATTACAGTGTGGTTAAAGTTGGATTTAGTGATAAAAATGTTAGATAGATAATCAATTGAATACACAAACTATTATATACAAATTATTAAATTGTTAATATCGTTCAATTATAATAATAATAAAATACTGACAACCAAATTTAACATTGTTTTTACTTATTGATTCTTATTTTCTTTGATTACCTTTTTGCACTTCATAAAACAGCATTTTTCAATCAACGTGACTGTGCTTGGTATGGTGATTTCCAGAGATTGACAATCATAAAAACAGTTGTATCCAATCGACTTTACACGACTTGGTATTACAACTGTTTGTAATTTGGTACACAGACTAAACGCACAAGGTCCCAAAACACTGACGTTTTTGGGTATATCAACTTTTTCCAAATTTTTGCAATTTAAAAAACACTCGAAAGGTATTTCTTGCAATTGTAAAGGAAGACTTATATTCTTTAACATGTGACAATCGAGAAAACAAGACTTCCCAATACTAGTAACCGTGCTTGTGATGTCAACCGAGACAAGAGATTCACAACAATTAAAACACAACTCACCCAAAGTGTCGACTCTTCCTTTAATATAACACGAAGTCAACTTTTTGCAATTGTCAAACGCCTTTTTACCAATAAAACACTCACAATCGGGTATTGCAATTGATTTCAACGAGGAACAAAATTGGAAACAACAATCGCCAATCGACTTCAGGTGGTCAGGAAACGAAAAACTGCTCAACGCACTGCAAAAACGGAAACAATACGGTGGCAAAGAAGTGAGTGTTTCTGGCACACTGATTGATGTGAGATGGGAACAGTTTTCTAATAAACATTGTCCGATTTTTAAGACTGTTTTTGGGAGATTCAGTTCTTTCAATGCAAAACAGCTATTAAAACAAAAACTCCCAATTTGTCTCAGGTTGCTTGAAAGTGTTATTGCGGTTAACTTTTCACACCAGTTAAAACAGTTATTATTGAGTGAAGTGATTGTATTTGGTACTATAACGGTTTCATATTTAGAACGCATATACAACTCATTACCAAGCGTGTTGATTGTACTTGGTATATCGTCACTATAGACATATTTGTCACTTACTGTGTATACAACATTCTTAAATGAAATATTTGTGTGTAAATGGCGTTGAGTGCAAGTGTAGGTCACTGCAAACCAAACATTGATGTGGTAAAAGTCGAGTTTGTGTGTTGTTTGGTGTTTCTTTTCATCGAGTATTGTATTACCAAAAACTTCATCGTCACCGTCCCATAAATTGAGTGTTTCAATGTGTGGGAAAAACTTGATTGTCTTTGTGTTTATTGGGACGGGGTTATTGTGAAATTTGTCCATATTTCCTTGAAACTTTTTACACACCATCTCCAATACAATTAAGTCATTTATCGTTGAAAAATATTGTGAAACGACCATCATATGGTACACATCAAGTTGCTTCATTCTTTGAATTTAGTTTTTTGTTTTTTATTGTACTTGCACTTCTCAATTTTATTGTTAAAATATAAAATTAGTCGGTTTTATTTCACTTAAAATATGTCTAAATAAGTCCTCAATTACCTAAGATGCTTTTCAAAACACATTATTTATTTATATGATGTAATTACAAAAATGAAAAAAGTTCGTGTGTTTAAAACATTAGAATCAATTCAGAACACATGAATATATATTATTAAATTAATAAATATATATTTATTCGATTTCACAAAAATTCTAATATAATAATACATGTAATGATGAGTCGGTGTATACTCCATGCACGTTGTTGTGGCTATAAAAATATGACATTTTTATCAACATCATTTCAATGTTTGAAATTGTATATATGAGTGTTTGAGTAGATCTACATCACTATATGTTGTGATTTTAAGTACATGAGTCACCTTTATGGGATACTAGGCTTTAAATAATTGTGATTTCAATAGATTAACAATCGACAATAATGTATTTATTAATAAACTTCTATTCACTTGAAACGCACTCACACATATTAATTTTTGTGGTTAAAGTGTATACCTTAAGACACATACAAGTATCGTCAAAAATATTATAAAATGCTCAGTAATCACATCCTAGCTTCTGGGTTTTCACAGCGCAACTTTCTTGAATAAAATTACTTTTTTTTCAATTTACAGTCAAAGTCGCTTATTTGTAGGTTAACTGACCAATCAAAATCAAAACATACAAATAGGTTGTATCTTCTCGAAACCGAATAATTAATTGAAATCAATTAAAATAACTTTATTTTTAGAGTGTATCTGAAACAAAATCTAATATGGAATAAGACTTCTTTTGTATTTTTTTAATTCATTTAATCTAATTATTTTAAGTTTCTGTTAAAATGGTTTCAATATTTAATAATTTTTTTATATTTTATTTAAAAAATACTATAATTAATAATATTCTTTGATTGATAATTGCATATGTAATACTGAGGTTTCGACTAATAATTGATAATTTTTATACCATTGTATAAATTAAATATAAGAATTATATTTGGAGGTTTTTTTGAAAATAATTGAAAACCTTGTTCATTATTATTAAAATAGTATTCAAATAATAAACTAAACCTTAGGATTCGTCGAAACTTTAGTCTTATATCTGTAATTATATTATCAGTCTTAAAACGGTAATAGTAAATTTTTTGACCGTTAAAACTGGAATATTACGGGAAACTGTTGAAAAATCTCCAAAAACACTATTTTTAATTTTATTTAGTTTTCTAACTTTTTTTAATTCCTATTTTTTAAGGCTTATTTTGTGTATTTATTTTGTCAAGCGGACAACTATTTACAAGCATACTTTATTAAAAGACTAAAAATTAAAAATATGGTTATTTTTATTTATTTTTGATAATTATAATAAATCAAAGAATATTCTTCCAAATTCTTAGCAAAACCTACAAATAGACAGCTTTTTATGCAAGAAAACCCACAAATAAGCGACTTTGACTGTATAAGTCACAAATCAATACACCTTTTTTAATTGTAAAAAACAAGGAAATTTGTTTTTCTTCAAGAACTATATTCATTTGGGAATTTTTCTTTTGAAAAGTGTGAACAAAAAAACTTGTTTATAATGGCAATGTCTTGTTTGTGGCTGCTGGCTGCTTTGAACTTTTTGAGTCTAAAATATAG